AAAACTCTGTCTAAAAAAAAAAAAAAAAGAAAAAGAAAAGAGCATGAGCCCCAGGAAAAAGGCAAGACCTGTGACAACCAGAAGATGTGGACCAACAAGGGAACTGCTGACTGGAGGCTGCCCCAGGGAAGGAGAGGACAGGAGTGGGAATCTCTGTAGTTTCTGATGAGAATATAAGTGATGAGGGTGGCAGAGGAAAGAAATTTTCCATCACCCTGCAGCCTCCAGCAGGAACCCATCATCACTCAGTCTCCCAGGGACTGTCTGACCACCTGTCCTCAGCACCAGATCAGATTTATCAAGTGTTTGGAGATGCTTAGAGAAAAGGCAGCCCAAGATAAACACCAGATTGTTATTTTGGGATTCTCTCACAGCCAGATCCCACTGAGGTCAAAAAGGTTTACTTCCTCAGCTTGAGCCAGCTTCATGTCTCAGGAAGATGATTTGTGAGGTCCTGTGAGCCTGTGATCCTAATCTCATTTTCTCCAAAAGGGCAGCTCCAGGGTTCATGCTGAGGGAGAAACTGAACTGAAAGAACTGGCTCTGAGGGGAGGCAGAGCCAGAACATGCTCCTAGCCAGACCTCTGGGCAACGCTGTACTGCTGAGCTAAGCACAGAGACATGACTCCTCCATGATCTGTCAAGGGCATCTTCTGTCCTGTTAAAGATTCCGGGCTGGATCTTGATTCAAATCCTTTCTGGATCCAGTTTGAAGTATCCAGGTGCTAATTTCAGGCTTAGGGATTTTGCGTTTTCTACACCCGCCCCAACACATTTCCCTGTAATTCTCAGGCCTGGGCCCATGGTTCTTAAGGGGCATTTTAATTTAATTTATTTATCTATTTATTTATTTTGAGACTGAGTCTCATTCTATCACTCAGGCTGGAGTGCAGTGGCATAATCTTGGCTCACTGCAACCTCCGCATCCTGGGTTCAAGTGATTCTCCCACCTCAGCCTCCCAAGTAGGTGGGATTACAGGCACATGCTACCATTATCTGGCTAATTTTTGTATTTTCAGTAAAGATGGGGTTTCACCATGTTGGCCAGCCTGGTCTCCAACTTCTGGTCTCAGGTGATCCACTCGCTTTAGCCTCCCAAAGTGCTGGGATTACAGGTGTGAGCCACCATGCCTGGACTAATTTTTTTTTTTTTTTTTTGTATGGGGTTTGACCATGTTGCCCAGGCTGTTCTTGAACTAACGTGTTCAAGCCATCCATATGCCTCAGCCTCAAATGTCTATTCATGATCAACACAGATCAATTTCAGGGCTTTTTTGGGTTTAAAAAGTAAGAATAATAAAAAGAATAAAGGGCTTTCTGTTTATGAGGATCAGGCTCATCAGCAGATACAAAGCTAGCCACCAGAACCACGGGCCTTCTCTCAGGAATGGAAGTCTGAAAGGGCCACATGGTCCATAGATGTGTCAAACTTGAAGCAGACTAAAAAGTTGTGAAGAGACAGGCGTGGTGGCTCACACCTGTAATCCCAGCACTTTGGGAGGCCGAGGCGAGTGGATCACTTGAGGTCAGGAATTCAAGAACAGCCTGGCCAACATGGTGAAATCCCATCTCTACTAAAAACCCAAAAATTAGCTGGGCATGTACCTGTAATCCCACTACTCGGGAGGCTGAGGCAGGAGAATCACTTGAACCTGCAAGGCAGAGGTTGCAGTAAGCTGAGGTCAAGCCACTGCACTCCAGCCTGGGTGACGGTGAGATTCTGCCTCCCAACCCCCGCAAAAAAAGCTGTAAGGAAAGTTGATACTGGTTATCTAGAGTGGAACCTGGTGTTAAAGACAGTATTTCCAAATACTGTCTAAAATTATTTGATTCCAATACTGTTTGAAATCTAAAACAGACTGAAGTCAACCTACGATATCTCTCTCCCAAGGCACCATGTGGCCTCTTAAAATGCACCTCTTGGTGTTCCACTGAGAGCAAAGAGCTTCTACACCTTTCTAGGCCTCCTCAAACCTGGCTGAATAATTGCCTTCCAAGTTAACTATGCTGAACTGTTCAGCCTCAAAATGGGAGCATTTTAAATACAGGACGAAGTCATTGGGAAATAAGCCTCCCACCCCAAAATACAATAGAACCACTGTCATCAGCCCTGCCTAGCTAACCATTTTCTGCAGCATAAGCAACTAAAGCTGCGCACCAATTTATATCTCAGTGATGTTGCTGCACAAATAAGGAAGTATATAATGCCACCTTTGCCTCTTTAATTAGAGAACAGGCCAGACCAGATGGCTGTGGGGTGGAACCTTATAAAAATGATGGACAACCAGAATGAGATTTTCTGCTCTATCAGCTCAGGCTCTAATTTTGACTGCAAGAAGCTTATGGAGCAGAGGATTAAAGCACTGGTGCTAGCTTGTCTTTAGCTAAAGATAGGAGTGGCCATTAAGAGGGGTTTGTTCATTTTTTTAAAAGCCATGAACAAATTCTAGAGCTTACTATATAAATATTTATGGAAGTATAGTAAGATTAGAAAGCTTAGAAATAACTACCTGTCAATAAAGGGAACAAGTAAAGGGATTCATTAAGCGACTGCAGAGGACACTAAGATCTTTTCCAACCCCAATGTGGGCACAAATGGCCAAAAAGAGCAAAATAAAAATGATGAGGTGTTTAATAACAGCAAAATCTCCCTTTTGTCAGCCTATTAAAAAAAGCAAATAACGCCGGGCGCGGTGGCTCACGCCTGTAATCCCAACACTTTGGGAGGCCGAGGCAGGTGGATCATGAGGTCAAGAGATCGAGACCATCCTGGTCAACATGGTGAAACCCCGTTCTCTACTAAAAATACAAAACATTAGCTGGGCATGGTGGCGCGTGCCGGTAATCCCAGCTACTCAGGAGGCTGAGGCAGGAGAATTGCCTGAATCCAGGAGGTGGAGGTTGCGGTGAGCCGAGATCGCACCATTGCACTCCAGCCTGGGTAACAAGGGCGAAACTCCGTCTCCAAAAAAATACAAAACATTAGCTGGGCATGGTGGTGCGTGCCTGTAATCCCAGCTACTCAGGAGGCTGAGGCAGGAGAATTGCTTGAACCCGGGAGGTGGAGGTTACAGTGATCCAAGATTGTGCCATTGCACTCCAGCCTGGGTGACAAGACCCAGAGTTCGTTTCAAAAAAAAAAAAAGGCAAATATGAGAGAGCAAAATTCTGTCCAATTTCACTAAGTACCTTATCCTCACTTGTTTACTTCCAGCAGCAAAGTTAAACTTGGATTCCGATCCCTTGTGCTGATTTGTGTTTTTAAAGAGTAGGTACTTAGGAGAAAGACGATGGGGGAAGAAGTGGGGCATGAAGCTGGGAAAAGGCCTCAGTCAGTGTCAGTGGGATTCCAGAGAGAACTTCTGACAAAAATGTGAGGAAGGTGCCTACGGCCATACAACCCTGAACGCGCCTGATCTCGGAAGCTAAGCAGGGAAGCAGGGTCGGGCCTGGTTAGTACTTGGATGGGAGACCGCCTGGGAATACCGGGTGCTGTAAGCTTTTGGCTCTTAAAAAAAAACAAAAACAAAAAAAAACTTCTTGGAGACTTTGTTGAAAAAGAAAGAAAGAAAACAAAGAAAAAAGAAAAAGAAATTTTAAAAAAATTAAAAAAAAGAAAAAATAAAAGTGAGGAAGGGGTATGTCCGTGTGTGTGTACGGGCGCACGCACGCATGCATGCTCTAATGTCAGAGTGAAGGAAGTTCTGCCCACCCCCACCCCGAGACGGAGTCTTGCTCTGTTGCCCAGAGCTGGTTCAAGCGATTCTCCCATCTCAGCCTCCTGAGTAGCTGGGGTCACAGGCGCGTGCCACTACGCCCAGCTAATTTTTGTATTTTTAGTAGAGCAGGGTGGTTTCACCATGTTGGCCAGGCTGATCTCGAACTCCAAACCTTGTGATCCGCCTGCCTCGGCTTCCCAAAGTGCTGCAATTACAGGTGTGAGCCATCGCTCGCAGCCGGAAGATTTTTTTAAAGAAAATTGTGTTTAAAATAAGGAATGGAGGGATACTGGTGATGGAATCCACTGAGCCCCAAACCCAAAAAGATATTCAGACACCTCTAAGCCTTAACACGCAAACTGTCCTACAATAAAGGACTACGGGACTCAACTGAGTATGGAGGGGCCAGTAGGTGTTACAGGCCGGGTGGATGCGAGTACCCTGGCGCTGCCCGGGGAGTGAGAGCCAAACGCAGGCAGTTCCTCTTTTTAGTGAGACCCAGGATCCGCCCCAACTCGCTGGTCCCAAGGGCAGAGGCCCAAACGGGCGGGTGTGGGTTGAAAGGCTTCCAGAACTGGTGCCGACTGACTACACCACCACGCCCAGTCTCACATCATCTCCCCTAAACATAGACTGGTCAACCCTAGGTCTGACTACAAGGCCCCTTTTGGCTAAGAAGATCCTTTCTAGGGCACTCCATATTCCTCAGGAGCCAGGAAAACTCCACTCAACCCCAAAGTAGGTGGGAAGGCCGGCAGCGAGGGCGCGCTCTGCACTCTGGGAGTTGTAGTCCCCGAACGCCTCCGGACCGGGCGGCAGCGAGTGACCTACTTTCTCTGCACACTACACTTCCCTGAGTACTTTGTGAAGGCCTAACTGGCTGCACTACGCATGCCTGGTAAGGGGAGCTGACCGAGGGTCGGACAGCCCAGGAAAAGTTTCCGATGCACATGCGCGCTGTGGCTGCCGGCGGCCCCCTCCCATCGCCTAATACATTTCATATAGATTCTACCCAGAATGCCTACTCCCCGTATTGTATGGCCCCACCACATCCTCCAGGCTTTACGAGAGCCTAACTTTCCCACCTTTCCCTTCATCGTCTCCCATCACTGTTGAAACTAGGATCTGCTTCTAAAGAGTTTTTTCTGGGTGAAGGGAGCGGGCTGGCTTAGATAAGGTCACCACCCCCTCCCCCCACCACCTTAATCTGAATACCAGGGCCTGGGCGTCCCGTCTGCAGTTGCTGGATGGACGGTGGATTCAAAGGGAAACAAGCCTTTTCACTTAATGCCTAGCGGACTCGGCTCCAACACCCCAACAACCAGGAAAGGCAAGGCAGGAATCAAACCCAGTTCTCCCGTCCTCTCGGCCAAAGAAATTTCCAGTCAAGCTGTGGGGAGGCGCCGGGCCAAGGCCAGCAGGGACCAAGCCTCACCCCATTTCTAATCCAATTCTGAGTAACCAGATCCGGGAGAGGGAAATAGGAAAAGGTTCCCAGGCAGAGAAGAAAAAAAATTGTACACCTGACACCTGAGCATCTTCTCATACTAAAATTCTGTGTATCTCCTCTCATGGCAAGGTCTGCTCTACGACCAGACTTAAGAGATCCTCAGCAAGCTCCAATACTGGGTGTTAAACCTCCTTAATCCTTCCTCCCACACAAGCTTCTTTCCCCTGTGCTTCAAGGAGGGATGGGGGCAGACGCCCAAGAAAGCAATAGGGTTGTTTTTCTGCTGGAAAATCAGAGATGAGGGACTCATTCCAAGGGTACCGTGGGTGAGAGGGAGAAAAAGACCGTTTAGATACGAAGCAGCACCAGAGACCTGGCCTCTGCCGGCACCCAAGTTGAAGCTTGCTGCGTGTGGGGTTCTGGTTTCTCCTGGGGGAGGGAGAAGGCCTGCAGGCAATGCCTCCTCTCTGCACCCTCCTTCCCCTCCAGACTTCTGGTGGTCAAGGGCACAGTTCATCCTCCGAACAGGAGGGGAAGGAGTTTGGGGGTAGGGCTCCCACCTCACAGGCACCTTAGCAAGATAACCGGAATCCACTCACTGGCACTGGTCTAAGGGGACTTTTTTTCTGCCCAGTTTTCCCTTAAAACACTGAAGAGTATAAAGAGCTCAAGCCGAAATGGTGAACTCTGGCTCAGTGGCCCAAGGACAGTCTCCATGGACCTGTCCTGTCGCCAGAGGGGGTGTCCCACCTCCACCCTTCAGGCTTCACAAAGCCAGAAATAGAGCCTATTAACAATTACCACCCCCCTTCCCTGCACATGGGAAAAGAAGCAGAAAAACAAGGCCTGGATCCCTTTCCTTCCTCGGATTTATTTAACGGTGGGGGGAGTTACGTTTCTTTGGAGAACAAGGAAGATCTAGCGAGTAGCTGGGATATAAAGAACTGGGGGAGGCGGGGAAGGGAGGAAATGCACCCCACCCAAGAGAGGGCCACTCTTGGAACTGGGAGAAAAGGGAGCTCTTGGGCACCCCAGGAGCAGAGATGGCGTGAGGAGAGGAGCAGGGAAAAGGGGGGTCTAGAGGGGAGCTGGAGGGGGAAAGAAAATGCTGGCCAGGCGGGGGAGGGGGCGGCAGCAACGTGGAGAGTCCAGCAAAGCGGGAGTGGGGCGGGGTGGGAGAGGCGGTCAGGCCGGCTGGGTCTCGGGGCGGGCCCCCCGCCCGCACGCCCCCCCCCCACTCACTCGGGTCTCCGCGGCGGCGGGGCGCTCTGCTGGCCTCGGGGCGGCTTCTCCCTCCAGGGTGGTCCTGAGCGCAGGGCGGAGGTCTCTCTCCCTTCCTTCCCGGGTGCCCGCCGGTCGGGGACCGAAGTCCTTTTCGTCGTTGAGGGTTGGGGGATGAAGCAGGGGGCTATGGGCTAGGACTCTCAAGAATTTCTTTCAGCTCTTAGGAGGTCGGGCTCGGCGGCGTGGGGACGGAGAGCAGGCGGACGGAGCACCGGCTACGGCGCGGGGATGGCGGACTGGAGGGTGGTTCGTGTCGCGGAACGGAAGACGGTCTGAGCTGTCGCCGGCGGGCAGTCCTGCCCTTCTGGCCCCGCGCCGCCCGAGCCACTGGCTTGCCTCCGCTGACAACCCACACCTTCCCGCGCCCCGGCCCGAAGTGAGCAAAGTCAATGAAAAGTTTCACCCTTAGCAACCCTGCGCACGGATCTCGCTTCCCCACCCCTGCGTGATGCGTCCCTCCGCCCTGCAGGGGCGGGGCCGGAGCCCGGCCGGGACTACTTCCCAGGCCGCCATGCGCTTCAGCTCGCTGGAACCGCGCGGAGCCATTCCTCGGCCCCTTGGTGCAAGCGGAGCCTGACTGCTCTGGCTCCCGCCTTTCCCTCCCCGTCACAGCGACGCGCCGTACTCCTTTTCTTCATTCCCACACCACTCTGAACTCGTGCGCGTTGTGTGAGGTGTTCTCCCTCAGGACAGGCGCTCCGAGAGGGCTGAGGGCGGCCTGAAGCCAGGTTGCTCACGGGCCGGACACAGTGCTGTCTTTAGTTGTGTTTGAGGGACGAGTGTCGCGGGGGAAGGAACGGAGTCACCAGGCCCTCCGGGAACTTCCCCGCTGACTCCTCCGCCCTGCACCTGCCTCAGCGTACACGGTTCGGACCTTTGCCCGAGCCATTTCCCAGAGCCTTCCTCCAGCTCCGGGTGTCTGGCCCTGCCCGCGGCCCTCGCATCGCCCCAGTTACGGCCTCTGCGGAGGGGACGGCGCGGGCTCTGGAAACCAGTCGGACCCGTTTCAGGCAGGCCTGAGTCTTCCGAGTGTCTCGTGCCTCCTCGGGGTACTCAACGTCGAAAGAAGGGCAATGGGGGACTCTGGGGCCTGAGCCACGCTGTGCGGGAGGAAGAGGCGAGGACTAGGCCGACGGTCGGGAAAACGAGCTGAGCGCTACAATAGACCTACCCCTCACCGCCTCTGGCGCTCCTTTACTCGCAGCCGGGAGGGCCGGCGCCGGCTTTGCGCAGGCGCGCGGGCGCAGCCTCTCTCGACTGGGGTTTGCTCTCCGTGGCTAGCGACCCCAGTGTGGGGCACGCGGGAGAGCCACATTTCTTCTAGTCAGTCTCGCTGGCATGGAGTAGCCCCTGACCGTGCAAGGGGTGCCGGGCTCGCAGCCACTACGTCCCCTCGGGCGGCGGAGCTAGGCTCTGTGAACTCGGGACTGGGCGCACCAACCCCGCGCCCTGAGGCCCCCTGTCCTGCCTTTGGCCACGCGGGCTCCTCTGCCTCTTTGTGACTGTGCGGGACACAGAGCCAGGGATAGAGAGAGCTGTGTTCTGCGATCACAGGCGGACAGGGCTGCCGGAAAATGCAGTCCGGAGCCCCCGGGAAACTGCGTGGGGTGTTGGCCCGAGTCCCTCCTTAGATGACCTATTTCCCAGTTCTCCCTTCCCCGCCCCCACCTTTTTTGTCATTCCAGACGGTTCCGGCCCAGCAGCAGCCGCCAAGCCCACGTTGGGTGGCGAGATCCGAAAGTTTCCAGCTACGAACAGTTTGCATTTTTTTTTTCCTTGATTGCTTTTTTTGGCAAGGGCAGAGAGCACCGGTAGCGTGGGGGTTCAAATGCGCTTTCCCTGAATGCAGCAGAAAAATGCCGGGCTAGAGGGCAAACTCCACCGAGACTGGGAGGCGGGAGGGAGCCTGAGCGTCCCCCCATCCCCCACACCCTGAGCGCCGCAACCCCGGGGGCACCTCCAGGGACTACTTGCCTTGTGCGTCAGCGAGTGACAGCGTCACACACACGCCCCCTCCCGCACAGCCCCGCTGCACCCTTCTCTTCCTCATCCCTTCCCCTCCCCTCCCCTCCTCTCTTCTCCCCTAGCTCTTTCCACCAGGCAGGGAGGCTCAGCCGACCCACACTCGCCCAGATCACCGAAAGCTAAAAATATAGCCGGCGTGTTAGCAACAGCCTTTCCATTGGTTGGGGGACAGAGAGAGGCGGTGTCTGATTGGGTTTAGGATCCAGCGTTAGGACTGGGTCTTTGGGAGTGTGCGTTTGCACCAGCCGGCATGGCAAGGGATGCTGGTATTTGTAGTCATTGATTAAGGCAGCCATAGAAATAGGTGGACTTGTATCCCAGTTGTGCTACCTACTGTGTGATCTTAATTTAATGCAGCAAAACTCTCGACATCACCAAACCTCAGTTTCCTCATCTATAAAATGTAGCTCGTATGGGGGATTAAGTACGATGCTGTATGTAAAGCTTGGCTCAAATCATTGCTATTCTTAATTTAAAGATAGGTGTTTGCGCCAAATTGCATCATATCATGCATATCCAGTGCTCAGTATGGTGTGCATTCTCCAATGTGAAACCTCTAACAATGGTGAAGGTGAGCTGAGGCAAGTTGTCCTCAGGAAGGACAGCTGGAATACATATAAGCAGTTAAAGGGTAGACGTCTACTATTCTGGATAGGCTGAGGGAGGGCAAACTGAATCCTTAGAAGGAAGGCCATGAATTTCTGGGTGTTTGTGCGTTTAATCGAATCTCCTCTGCAACACTGGAAAGATACGAGCCCTCAGCAGCAGCATTAGAATGAAATGATAAATCCAGCCTCCTTGGTGAGAGCTCTGGGTAAAAGGTTAGCATGTAAGTAAGAAAAGATAAAATAGAGGGGGGAAAAAGGTAACCACCCTTCTTAACTGCTGATGTCTCCATTTATCGTGTGGTGAGGAGGAATTTTTTTTTCCTCCCCACTTGTACCCAGTGTGTGATTACATCTTGCCAGGGTGTAATTGTGAGCTAAATGCCTACTCAGACATTTCAGATTCCCCTCCCATTTTGAATAATCATGTGTTGAAAGGCATGCACCATGCTTTCAAAATGGTGAGCTCCATGAGCAAGCAGGTGAGGCAGGGAGAAGGTGAGGGGCACATCCCCTGTCTGAGAGTAAGCAAGATGTGGTGCCATAACAAATCAGACTGGTCATAATTGGCCTCAGTTAACTCTCAGAGATGAGTCACCCTCTCATACACACTCCAGGGCAAGAAATTTTGTATTGTTTCTTTGAAGTTATTTAAGAGAATATTTCCTCAATTTGATTTCTTCAGCAGGTGCAAAAGAAATTGGCTTTGGGGAACTGTGGTTGGCTACTGAAGAAAAATCATTTTTAAATTTTTAAAATTGGCCGGGCGCGGTGGCTGAAGCCTGTAATCCCAGCACTTTGGGAGGCCGAGGCGGGTGGATCACGAGGTCAAGAGATCGAGACCATCCTGGTCAACATGGTGAAACCCCGTCTCTACTAAAAATACAAAACATTAGCTGGGCATGGTGGCACGTGCCTGTAATCCCAGCTACTCAGGAGGCTGAGGCAGGAGAATTGCCTGAACCCAGGAGGCGGAGGTTGCGGTGAGCCGAGATCGCGCCATTGCACTCCAGCCTGGGTAACATGAGTGAAACTCTGTCTCAAAAAAAAAAAAAAAAATTTTTTTTAATTTTATTTATTATTTATTTTGAGACAGAGTCTTGCTCTGTTGCCCAGGCTGGAGTGCAGTGGCACAGTCTTGGCTCACTGCAGCCTCCACCTCCCAGGTTCAAGTGATTGTCCTGCCTCTAGAGCAGCTGGGATTACAGGCACACACCACCACACATGGGTAATTTTTGTATTTTTAGTAGAGATGGGGTTGCATCATGTTGGTCAGGCTGGTCTTGAACTCCTAACCTCAAGTGATCAGCCTGCCTTGGCCTCCCAGAGTGCTGGGATTACAGGCATGAGCCACCATGCCCAGCTGACAAATGATTTTTATATAGAATTCACTAAGACTGTGAATTCTAGTAAAGAAGGTAAGTGAACAAACCTGTCTTGCTAAGATGCTAAAATGCAGGGTTCAAAGAAAGTAACATTTTAGCCTTGGTGTTATCAACAGGTCACTTGGGCCAGAGCTGATAAGGAACTGAGTGATTGGGAGCAGGTAGAAATAATCAGAGTCTTTTAAAACAGGAAAATTCCAAGCAAGGAAAATAATCTTTTCCTTCTATGTCTTTGCTTCAAACTACAATTAAAAAGCTACAGGTCAGAATAGAGTGACACATAGTCTCTCTGAAATTTGGGCAGTTCAGTTTGATTCCTTGGGAAGTTAATTTTAATTTAGAAGTTGCTAATTGGCAGACCAAGGTCCACATCTGGCAGATGTATTTTCTTGGCTCATACTGACATATTACTGTTTTAAAAGTGAGTTGCCGGCTGGGCGAGGTGGCTCACGCTTGTAATCCTAGCACTTTGAGAGGCTGAGGTGGGTGGATCACCTGAAGTCAGGAGTTCAAGACCAGCCTGGCCATCATGGTGAAATCCCATCTTTAAAAAACATAATAAAATAAAAAAAAATAAAGTGAGTTGCCAATATTGAAAATGTGGGATATTGTACAAAAATAGCTTAAGTTGCCACTCATCCTAAATTCAAAATGTCTGGCAACACTGGGCATTAAACTGGCAGCAATTGTCTGGAGTTGAATAGCAGCTGTCTCTTTTAGACAGGGCTTGTGTTCTCTGGTTGCCTTAAGGTCCCCACCACTCCCCTGTTGTGTCCCAGACACAGAGGCTGAAGGTTATATACCATTTATCATCACACTTGGGCTATTCTTATACCCCTTCCTTTTCAATTAATGATATTACTCACCCAGACTCTGCAGTTTGTGACCCCTTTTTCGGTTTTATTTAGCAAGTAATTGTTGGAGTGATTGCCTATTGTATGCCCTGGGTGGAAGGAGAGGCAAAAAGAACACAAGGATTTTATTTATGATCTAGTTAGTTGTTGTTGAATAGAGACAGGGTCTTGCTAGGTTTGTTGGCCAGTTTGGTCTTGAACTCTTGGCATCAATACTCCCGCCTCCCAAAGTGCTAGGATTATAGACATAAATAAGCCACTGCACCTGGCCTAGTTGTTTATATATTTTTTCCCTTTATTTCATCCCCACCCAGCCCCTCTTCTAGTTAATTTTTTTTTTTTTTTTTGAGACGGAGTCTCACTCTGTTGCCAAGCTAGAGTGCAGTGGCGCGATCTCAGCTCACTGCTGCAACCTCTGCCTCCCAGGTTCAAGTTATTCTCCTGCCTCAGCCTCCCAAGTAGCTGGGACTACAGGCATGCATCACCACGCCCAGCTAATTTTTGTATTTTTAGTAGAGACAGTGTTTCACCATGTTGTCCAGGCTGGTCTCGATCTCCTGACTTTGTGATCAGCCCGCCTCAGCCTCCCAAAGTGCTGGGATTAAAGGCATGAGCTACCATACCCAACCTAGTTAATTGTTTTTAAACTTGGGGTTGTCATCCCTTAGTCAGGGACATAAAACCTGGTTTAGGCCAGGCACAGTGGCTTATGCTTCTAATCCCAGCACTTTGGGAGGCCAAGGCAGGCAGATCATGAGGTCAGGAGTTCAAGACCAGCCTGGACAATATGGTGAAACCCTGTCTCTACTAAAAATACCAAGAATCAGCCAGGCATGGTGG